ACATTTGAGCTCTTCTCCAGGGCCGGTGGTGCTCTTTGGGGGTTGGGGTTGGGAGTTGTAGAGTTAGGGCCTAAAGGAAGCAAAACACTTTGGGGGTAAGCCATTGTGTGTCTCCATTCTATCACTTTGCATGATAGATTTCCCTTCCCTGGTTCTAAACTTGTAATGAAGGTAAATTCTTGAATTTGAGCCAAAAGGCAAATAATTTGTTTTTAGTCATAAGGCCACATGGAAACAAAAGATATAGAAAAATTCAAATTCTGTACTGGACTGTTGGGATTTTCATCCCAAATCTAGTTGTGTTGGTGTTATGAGGCCTTGTTAGAAGGATGTTATGAAGATAGATATTATGCATAGGAAGCCCTATGGCTGTAGCTTATAGCAAGCCTCATATAAGTTTTTACTACTCCTGCTTAGACTATCAGTAAAGTCATAAGTCCAGGGTATTAACCAATTCTCTATCTAGAAGACTACTAACTTCATTATTTTTCTAAGAATGCCCACCTAAGCATGTTTTCCTATACCTTCATACCACTGAACGTCAACCCAATTTTAAGATACATTGCCTGAGCCACTGTGCAAGTCAGCTTGGAATGCCTTAAACAACTGACACTAGAACTGCTATGTGACCCAGCTAGGTTACTTCTAGTATTTACCCAAGTGAACCCACCACGGAGATCCTTGCACATCCAAGTTCATTGCTGTACTATTCACACTAGGCAGGAAATAAACCCAGCTTGATGTTCATCCACAGCTGAATGGGTAAAAGAAATGTGGCACTCAGACACAAGAGGACTTTACACAGTCACAAAGAAAAATGAAATGATGACATTTGTTGCGAAATGATGGAGGTGGAAATCAGTGAGATCAGCAAAACTCAGAAAGACAAGTATAACCTGGTTTCTCTCACATGCAGATTCCAGGTTTACAATTTTATATGCATATGTTTGTACATGTGTGTTTATATGTGTTTGTCAGTCGTGAAACCAAAGCAGAAAATGAGATGGGGGAGAGATCATAACGAGATGGGGGAGCGATCATAAGGGAAGTAGGGCTAGAGAGAGTGATGTTATGCATATATGACAGGAAAATAGATGGAGGGGATAATTAGAGGAAGAAAGGGAAGCCAATGGAGGGGTCAGGAGTCATCAAATGGCCAGTGGGAGCAGAGAACAAGTGAAAACTAAATACAGTAGTACATATGTACAAAGATACTGTGATAAAACCCACTACTTTGTATACTATCCCCAAAATTGTAACAAGTAAATGAAATTGATCTCCCAATGAACCACAATAATATGATCCCACCCAGAAAGGTTTATAACTGAATAACAATCTATTGAATCCATTTACAGTCAAACACCCTAAGTCATACCAGGATTTGTTTGTTGACTTGTTTGCTTGTACTATGTTGCTCATGTTACCCTAGAACCATTTGTGTAGCCCAGGCTGGCCTAGAACTCATGTTACTCCTACCTTTACCACCCAAGCACTAGGTTTACAGGCAAGTGACACAACACCTAACTTAGAATCTTTTTTAAATAGCTATTGTTTTCTAAACCATAAGTTTTCCTTTCTTCTTTCCTTTCTCTTTCTTTCTTTCTTTCTTTCTTTCTTTCTTTCTTTCTGTTTTCTTCCTTTCTTTTTAAAAATATCTTCCTACATAGAATTCCCAATACAGAGAAATGAGGATACTCCTATCTCCACTGTCTTTCTGTTTTCTGCTGATGCCCCTTGGGGAGTCCAAAGGGATGTCTTCTTAGATTTCTAATGGTGATAGCTCCATTAAGTAAAACCTCAACTGAAATAGTCACCCTGGGAATAGTCGATGATTCCTCCCTGGATGCTCAAGCTTTTCTGGGGTTTCCATTCCCTCAAGTCCTCTGTTTCTGCACATTGTTCTTTGTCTCCTTCCTTTAGAGGCTCATGCTTCTTCGCAATAAGTTCCCCATTTTCTGGTCCCTTCTCCCCTCTTCAGGTGAAGACAACCTCACATGGATACAACACTCTCCTCACAAAGTGCTTTTCTGCTTGATCCAGTGACATCAGATGCCATACTCAGCATCTACAGTATGAATCAAACCTTATCAAGAAAGCCTAGGATCCTGACACTGGAGTCTTATTCCCCTGGAGAAAAGGAGACAGGAAGAGGCAAGAAGACAAGAAAACTCCTTGCTGGGAATTGAACTTAGAGCCTCATGCATGGTAAGCAAGTGCTCTACAACTGAGCTATATTACTAGTGTGTAGCTGTGAGTCTCACATTCTCTGAGGTCTTTGCAGTCATTTTGAAAGTAGATTTTGAATTTCCTCCATGATTGAAAATTGGATGAGGCTCCTAAAGGGAAAGGTTTGGTCTGTGCAAACTTTGGGGTCACAATGTTATCTACTGACACATTCCATGGCCTCATAAAAGCTGTCAAGATCAGCAAGCACACAGACTACCCAAGAGTAACACCTATTAGGCATCATGAGCTAGATTTTACAGCTCCTAATAACAACTGCCTTTGAGTTTGCCAAGAGCTCTGCTTTATGTCTGCCTTGCTTACAAGCTTGCTGTGTGACCCAAGGAAAGTCATTGAGCCTTTCTGAATAATCTTTTCCTCCTCTGTTAGACACCAAGCAGTACAACAATAGACACTCTTAGAGAATATAGCCTCCTAGTAACAGTTTTTAAAAACTTAAAACTCTAATTCTTCTTATATATTGGCTGCATAAATGGCTCAACTGTCAAGAGCACTGGCTGCCTTTCTAAAGACGTAGGTTCAATTCCCAGCACCCACATAGCAGCTCACAACTGTCTATAACTACAGTTCCAGGGAACCTGACACCCTCTTCTGGCTTCTAGGGTACCAGGTATATAAGTGGTGCATAGATATACATGCAAGAAAAACACCTACACATATAAATAAAATAATTTTAAAAATTAAAATCAATAATTGTAACAGATAAGTCTAAGGCTGGATTTCTAGAAGGAGATCAGATATTTAACCTATAAAACTTTCCTGAAAAACTGAAGACCCCATGGGAATATCTCACCTTTTCTTGGGACACAAACTAACATAAAGTAGAAATTTTAAAGGAAAATGTGAACTGTCTTTTAAGTACCTTGCAATTATGGCTGTTTGGTCAAAGTCAATGTCATATGAGTCTAATATTGATAATTCTTAACTCTAGTTCAAATATTTCCTCTGTATTAATTTATTCAGCTTTTATCTAATAAAAAATATACACACGGACTTTGGACTCCCATCCAATAATGTGAGATGCACTCTCACCCTGAACTCTTGGGGGAGGGTCTAAGCCCTGCCCTGGATGAAATGACAGACTATGGACACCCCCATGGAGGGCCTTACCCTCCCTGGGGAAATGAGGGGATAATGGGGGGTTGGGGGGAGGGCACGGGAGGAGGGGAGGGAAAGGGAGAGGGACCTGGAACTGACTTGTGAAGCAACCTTGTTTCTAATCTAAATTTAAACTGAAAAATAAATAAATTTTAAAAAATGTCACCAGCTAAGATATCCGATCCTGGGCTTTCATCATTGTGAAGTTCACATGTCAGACTGATTGCCGATTTGTTATAATTACCTTTTTGCAGACCTCCCTGACAAATACTTTCCTAATATTTTTCTTGAGTTGTCTCTGTATTCTATGAATTTATTCTTATGCCATTACAACATGGTGTTCTCTATCTGTGTGTGTGTGTGTGTGTGTATTTGCACAAGCATAGGGGTGTGGGGAAATGCTCATTCATCTGTGCTTACACAGGTGAAGGCTAGAGATCAATTTGAGATGCTTTCTCAATTGATTTCCACGTTAGTTTTTGAGACAGATACCCTCATTGAACTTGGACTTCACTGCTGTGGGAAAGATCACTTGCTGTGACATCAAGGGGACCTGAGTTCAAAGCACCAGCACCCAAGTAAAAACCTTGAATATCTGCATCCCTGGACCCCCAGAGGTGAGGGGTAGATACAGTAGTTCCTGCTCACTAGCTAGCCAATCTAGCCAAAAAAAGCGAGCTTCAAGTTCAATGAGAAAACACTTTTGGTAGATAGAAAAAAAGGCAGAAAGAAAGAAAGAAAGAAAGAAAGAAAGAAAGAAAGAACAGAAAGAAAGAAAGAAAGGACAGAAAGAAAGAAAGAAAGGACAGAAAGAAAGAAAGGACAGAAAGAAAGAAAGGACAGAAAGAAAGAAAGGACAGAAAGAAAGAAAGGACAGAAAGAAAAAGAAGAGCCATAGAGGAAGGCTTCTAATGTTCTCCTCTAGCATTTACATGTATGTTCATGGATACTCAAACCTCACCACTACACATACCCAAGTGCCTATACCACACAGATAAATAATAAATAAATAAATGAAAAAGAAATGAACCCTATTCCTTCTGGTGTAGGGTTTAGCCATCTTCCTTGTAGTTTGAGAAAGAGTGAAACAGCTCTGTGTTATGAAGTCTTTTGAGGGTATCACTACAGAGCCAGATGTCCTTTGTCCCCCTTGGCATTATTTCATCCATCTCCTAACCTTAGTTCCTATTCCTGTTGTTTAAGAAAAGTTAAGACAATCCAAACCAATTATCTGAGTCCAAAAGTTTAAAAACACAACCAGGGCATATTTTCTAAATAAAGGCATTACAACCCTGAATTCTGAATGACTGGCTACAGCCCTCTATTTTCAAGAAGCAAAGAACAATATTTTATGCTGGAGTTGCGGTAATATAAATAACCATGCCTGGAGAAACCTTTCTGCCAATGTCCCACAGCCAAGAGGACGGGCTGGGTCCTCACGGAGACCTAAAAGAGAATCAGGGGAAAGTCGGAGGTTTCCTGTCTTTGTAATGAGTTTACTAATTAAATCTTAATTGTAAACCAAGCTGAGCAAAATTCAAATGAACCTCTGGTGCCAGAAGCCAGGTTATTATGCTGGAATTGTTTATAAGGACAGGAAAACGACTTTCTAAACATCACATTCCTGTGCAGGAGCCAAGACTCTGAGGAAGTCCCGGTGAGGAGAAGCTCAAAAGGCAGCAGTTAAGTGATTGAGGAATTGGGATAACTCAACAACACCCAGATGTCCGAGTCCTGAATTCAGCTATTGCCAGAGGCTGCAATATTCTTTTGATGGACTGCAAATGCCCTGGTCTGTGTGCAGTGTGTTTTTGCCCTTTAGCACAAGTGGTCCACTATTTCAGCAGTGATATGATATGGTGACGATGGAAATGGAAATTCCTTTTTCTTTATAAATCCCCGACTGTTCTACTGAGAAAGAAGCTGAGCAACTAGACAGAAGCCCAAACGCTTCAAACAAATGAAACCACATAATGGAAAACTCAAGAAGTTGGTCATGTTTCCTCTTGGTGAGTTTCTGGCTGTGGGACCTAGGCCAGAGAAGAAATCAAAGCAAAGCTCACATAGTTATGTGCATGGTTTAAGATGATCAATTATAAGGTAAGGAGAGGGAAGCCAAGATGCCCTTGTTCTGCTTAGCTTGGTTGTTATTGGTGGTGGTGGGGTGTGCATGCCTGTGTGTGTGCATGTGTGTATGTTTGTATTTTCTTTTGCTTGTTCCTTTAAAGGAACTAAGTTGGGTGTGACAGCATATGCCTGTAACTCCAGCACTCACAATTCTGTTGTAGGAGAATTACAAGTTTGAAGCCAGCCCGGTCTCCCTAGCAAGTTCCTGCCTCAATAATAAATGAATAACTTTCCTTGGAGCCTGTTTTTGTGGTGCATACTTGTGTGTGTGTGTGTGTGTGTGTGTGTGTGTGTGTGTGCATGTGCACGCTCATGGGTGCATGTGTGCCTGCCTGTAGGGGCCAGATGGCAATCTGCTGTCATTCCAAGCCGTCTAGCTTGTTTCTTGAAGCAGAATTTCACATTTGCTCTGAGCAAGTCTTAGTATCAACAACAGCCACATTAGGGTCTGGAGAGATGGCTCAACCATTGAAGACTTGCTGCTCTTGCAGAGGATCTGAGTTTGACTTCTAGCATCTATGTCAGGTGGCTCATAACCACGTGGAACTTGAGTTCCAGGGAATTTGACAGTCTTTTCTGGTGTCTTCAAGCACTGCAGACATGTACACACACACACACACACACACACACACACACACAAGAAATCTTAAAGATACATCTGAGACAGAAACAATACATGTCTCCATTATTCACAGGCTGGAACAGGACTTAGAAACTGTATTAAAAGCTGTTATTATTATTATTGATACCTGTGGCTACTGATTGTCAACGTGGCTGTTTTTTATGGAAACACACCTTTGGGTGTCTTTGAGGCTGTATTCATACAAGCCCAACTAAGTAGGTAATGCAGCATCGGGCTGTGGGAAGGCTCTTGAACTGGGTCAAAAGAGTGGCCAGAAACTAAGCAATAGCAAAGAGATTACCTTAATAGCCCCTCCCTGATGATAAGATTGATGACTACCCTATGTGCCATCCTAGAATCTTCATCCAGTGACTGATGGAAGCAGAGGCAGGCACCCACAGCTAAACACTGCACTGAACTCCTGGAACCCAGTGACAGATGGAGGAGTGATGAGCAAAGGGGTCAAGATCCTGCTGGTGAAACCCACAAAGACAGCTGACCAGACAAGGAGTTGCTCTTGAACCCCAGACTGATGGCTGAGAGGCCAGCAGGGGACTGATAAAGACCCCCTGAATGTAGTGTCAATGAGGAGGTCTCAGCAATCTCTGGGGCCTTGGGTAGTAAATCAGTGTTTACCATGGTGTACGAATGAAATTTGGGAGCCCATTCCACGTGGAGGGATGCTCTCTCAGCCTGAACACATGGGGAAGGGCCTAGGTCCTGTCCTGGATGAAATGGCAGACTCTAGAGATCCCCCCATGGAGGACCTCACCCTCCCTGGGGAATGGTGTGGGGATTGGCTGGGGGACTGTGGGAGCTGGTGGAGGGACAATGGAGGAGGGGTGGGAGAGGGAGCTGGGATTCACACGTGAAGCATGCATGCTTCTAATTTAAATAAAAACATATATTGAGAAAAATATTGTATATTCAAGAAAATAAAATTTTGTTAGCACTAAAAAAAAAGAGTAGCTGGTTGAGCACCAGCACTCCTCCCCCTCTGCCTCCTAACTGTGGGTGCCATGTGACAGCTGTCTCCACACCTGACGAAAGACTTTCCCTGCCATGAGGGGCTGTGCCCGCCAAGTCTAAGCCAACATAAGCCTTTCTTTCCTTAGGTGACTTTTGTCAGATATTATGTCACAGTAACAAGAAAAGAAATAACGGGTCATTTGACTTTCAATGCAGAGAACAGAAAGCCAGAACATTGCCTTTCTGGGGAGCTGTAACAAGACAAGCCTACTCCATCTCTACCTTGTGTGTGACTGTCTGAATTATCTCTATAGAGAATTTGTAACAGTCTGATATTTATTCACTCAGTAAATTTACATTGTTTCGATGGATCTTTCCTCAAATCTCCATTTGTTCTTCCGTTTTCCTGTTAATGGCTACAGAGCCTACCTATAGACAATGAAACCTCATTTCATATTTGGAATCTTTTGAGGCAGTTTTGAGATATGGTGCATGTAGAGTTCATTTCAGCTTTGTCTGTCTGCAAAGTAGATGCTATGCTAATCACAAGATAAAAATTAGGCCACCTTTGAAAGGCTTGCTGTTTGGACCAAGGTCACTGGTGGCTCCAACTGAGTTGTTGAGCTTAATGTCATTGTTTCCTGTGGAGAGAAAAGCTACACACTGTTCCACTGTGGATCAGAACTTGATAGCTACACAGTGTTGCTTTTGCTTAGAAGCTGTTGATTGTGGTGGAATACAGACAAAGGAGCACGGAGGCCAGGAGGCATCGTTAGCTATGGCTACTCAAGCACCATCCACTTTGTATGTTGAGGCATGATCTCTCTTTGGCTGTGGAGTTAACTGGTTAGGCTGGGCTGACCGGGCAGCCAGCAAATCCCAGTGATCTACCTGTTTCTACCTCCCTATGCTAGAATTATAAGATTGGGCCACTGAATCTGGCTTTTTAAATGTGGGTTCCGGGGATCCAGCTCAGGTTTTCATGCTTGTGAGGCAAGCACTTCATAGCTAAGCCATCTTCCCAGCTCCAGATGTTTTCTTGTTTGTCCTTTGAATCTATTCTGATAAATTCTGTTGGTCACTCTCTCCACCACTACTTATACCATGCCAACCACCATGCTAACTACAAGGAGAATCACTAGGGAATCAACCAGTCCCAGCAACCCTGAAGACATAGGTTCTCAGACTGTTATTGCTGGGTATGCTTGGGGTGGGGGTGGGGGATCCTACATAGCCTACTGTCTCATCTTTTTTACACAGAGGGATTAGATCAATGCAGAGTCTATCATCGTAATGTACCTAGAAAATGAACCCTGGGGACCTCCACCAGAAGTCTTATCTATAGGCTTAGCTTTCTCAGTTCAAGAGGACTTATGGAGAACTCGTGTGTTGTAGGATGTCAGAAGGCCTGTTTTATTTTTTATTTTTTGGGGGGGAGGGGAGCTTTCTTATTTTGTTGGTTTATTTATTTGTTTTATTGCTGCTGACACACACCTTCTTCTTATACAGTTTAGCTGACATAGAATCAATTATTGTAGCCCAACCTAGCCCTGAACTCTCAACAATCCTGCCTAAGGCCCCTGGGTGCTGGGACAGCAGACCTAAGCTAACACACCTGACTTAGAAGTAACTCTTTATTGTCAGTTTAGTTAGCATGAGAAGAACCTAGTTTTCACAAGCATGTAATTTCCTGTCCTAACCTGCCTGTAGTTGTAGACTTTTGAATGTTTTACTTTAATGATTAGATATAAAATTGGAGAGTTTTAAGAAAGCATATCTCTTATTTATCTTACTGTCTCGTATAAATAGGTCAAAAGAAGCATTGGCAGGCATGGCAGACACAGACTTGTCATCACTTAGGGGACAGAAACAGGAGGACTGCCAATTTAAGGCCAGATTAGAATAATGGGTAAAACTTACCTCCAAAAGCTAAAAAAAGGATAGAGAAGCAGAAGAGGCAAGTGGTCCATGGCAGAGGCATTTTTCATGGCCTTTACAATTCATTATTTGCTTGTTCAAGATAGACCCCAAACAGAGAAGCCTGTCCAATTTTGTGTTCCAATGAGGTGGTTAGGTTCCAGTAGTCGCCAGGGATAGCATAACAAAACTGACAGCAAGGATTTATTTATTTTACTTCTTTCATTAAAAATGGACCCCCCTCCCAAATTAGGCATCATTTTTACCTTAGAAATGGATTTCAGGATGTCAAATGATAACCTAAGCCAGACTCAAAAGTGCTATTAGTCTGTGAGAAGCCAGGCGTAAAGCAATTCCAGCTTACCAGCCAAAGGTCAGATAAGTCCCCTTGACAAGCTTCATAGCTCTCTGTAACACTCCATTGCTGAAGGCCACAGGCCACAAGATGTTGTGAGTGACTGCCATGCCTCTAAGCCTTGGTGTTCAGCTCCACAACGCCTAATTCATTTCAGAAGAAACATGTGTGTGTGTGTGTGTGTGTGTGTGTGTGTGTGTGTGTGTGTGTGTGTGGTGTGTGTGTGTGTGTGGTGTGTGTATGTGTGTGTGTGTGTGGTGTGTGTGTGTGTGGTGTGTGTGTGGTGTGTGTGTGTGTGGTGTGTGTGTGTGTGTGGTGTGTGTGGTGTGTGTGGTGTGTGTGTGTGTGTGTGTGTGTGTGTGTGTGTGTGTGTGTGTGTGTGTGTGTGTTAGGTGTCACCTTGTTTTTTGAGCCAGGATCTCTCACTGGCCTGGAGCTCACTAGTTAGTGAATCCCGCAGACCCTGGGATTCTCTTCTCTCTGCTTTCCCAGCAAGGGATTACAAGTGTGTACTACAGTTCTGGCCAGGGTTTTTGTTGTTATTGTTCTAATGTGTCCTCTGGGAATCAAGTTCAGGTCCTTATGTTTGCAAGGTAAGCATTTTACTAAATAAACTATCTCCCCAGCTCCAAATATAGAGTCGTGGAAATGTCAGAACATCTCTATATGTTTTGTATCTTTATATGTTTGTATCTCTTCCTGTTTCTTTATGTCTCTCTATCATTCTTCCCATCACCGTCTGATTCTGTATCTCTGTGTCTCTGTGTGTTTCTGTGTCTCTCTCCATCTCTGTATCTGTTTCTCTCTCTGTTTGTGTGTGTGTTTGCGTGTGTGTGTGTGTGTGTGTGTGTGTGTGTGCGTTTTCATGTGTCTGTCTCTGTGTTTATGGCTGTCTTTTATCTGTGTCTGACTCTGTTTCTGTCTTTCTCTTGTATACCTCTATCTCTCTGTCTCTGTCTCTCTGTGTCTCTGTCTCTTTCTGTATCTCTCTGTCTCCCCATCCCCCTCTTCTCTTCTCACCTTTTAACAAGGAAAATTATTGCTTTGGAAACCAGATGGATTTAAGTTGCTCCACCAGCCACTGCCTCAGGGGTGTTGGAGATCACATTTGGTGGCTTGCTGCTTCCAATGCCTTCCAAACCCATGTGGCCTCTGCAAGAGAGGAGGCAGCTGCAAAGGAGGAACCTCCCTGTGCTGTCTGATGACAGGAAGGTGATGGCAAAGGGTGGGTAGGTCTGGAGGCACTTCTCAGGTGATGCAAAAAGGGCTCCTGGCAATTTCCCTCTTCCAGGTGCAGCTCTGAAACTCTGAACTGGCGGCAGTTCAGCTGAGCCCTTGCCATCTTGAGAGCAATAGATCAGGCCAGGACGCGCTTTAGGGGCCTGGTAGAAAGCCACTGAGAGAAACAGCACTAAGTTTCAGCTAGGAAACAGCCAGAGCAGGTACTTTGCCCATTTGCAAACTGTTGTAGGCCAACTGAAGCACCCTGTACTCATTGCAGAAGGGTTACCATACAGGGGAGGAGCGTAAAGCCAGAGGTATTCAGGAAACAGTTTCTGAGTATGTGGGAGAAAATAATCATTATATAGGGGAAATAGGAATGTAAGTCGCCATACACATGATGACAAACAATATAGAGGTTCTACAAAAAGATTAAAAATTGGAATAGCAGAAATAGCATATGATCCATTATTTCCTGTCTTTGCCAAAGCAAATCACCCAATATATATTTTTAAAAATAAGCTTTACTTATTTGTGTGTGTGTGTGTGTGTGTGTGTGTGTGTGTGTGTGGTGTATGATGTGTTTGTGTAGGCCTGCATCCCATGGCACACTTGTGGAGGTCAGAGGATAATTTTACAGTTAGTTCTTTTCTTTGGCCTTTGCTTTATTCTAGGTGTTGAACTTAGGTCCCCCAGTCTTATGTGCCTTGGGTTGTAACATGCTGAGGACCAAAACCAGAATCTTAAGGAGATACCTTCTATTCTATGTTCATTGCAACCTCAGTCACTGTACCACAAGGTCCTATTCCACGTCAGAGTTTGTTAGGAGTATAATAATAAAATCCCCCAGGCTGGGTGGTTTAAACAACAAAAAAGTATTGTTCCAGTCTTATAATTCTGGTGTTACAGGTCCAAGATCAAGATACCAGCAGGATTCGTTCCTTCCAAGGCCCCTCTCTGCAGATTGCAAATGGATGAATACATAATGAAGACAGGATACATTTCCAAGGTAGAATATTACTCACTGGTGACAAATGGGAGTTGCAAATGTCCTTTACATGTAAAGACACAACTCTGGTTGGACTAGACTGCTCCCTAAGGATCTCATTTTAGCTAGATTTCTTCTTTTAAGACCACCTCAAATATGCACTCTGAACCAAGGGTTACAGTCTTGACATAAGAGCTCAGAAGGACTCTATCCAACCTAACACATAATCTTCTTTTTTTTCCATGACAGAGAGGAGGAAGGGTAAAGACCAAAAGGAAGAAGATCTGTGCAAGATCATCCAGGGAGTCTGCATCTGTCATCAATTCACAGTACCTAGAGGATGTGCCCAGCAGAGTGTGTTTGGGGGGACAGGTGTTACAGGGAGAGAAATGATAGGAACACTGAGGCTTACAGTGCTCCCCAGAATGCTCTTGGGCAAGGCTTTCTGCAGAAGCAGAGTCTGAATGACGACCTAGAGACGTGAAGAGCTTATTGTTGATGACCTCTTCTTCGCCTACACCTTTGCACAAGTCGCATTGATGTTTCTCTGTTCTCCATTGCTACAACAAAGACACCCATGGTGGGTATCTTATGGAGGAAAAGAGTTGTTTAGCTCAGTTTTGGAGGATGTAAATTAAGAAATTAGTCACTTTCCCCTCTTATAGAGCTTTGTGACACATGACTTCAGGGTAGCAGAGCCATTGGTGACAAGACTGGAAGCAAGAGAATGATGCTATAGCCAGAGCATCTCTCTTGGAGCAGCTGAATCTGCAGACAAATTCGAGACCTCATAAGAAATGCATTAGACTTTCCCGAAGGCTTACCACCCCCCATGACTTCATCACCTCCCACTACCCATTACCTCTTAATGTCCCATCACCTCTTAGGACACCACAAGTGTGTACACAAACACAAACACAAACCATGGCAGCAGCTATCTGAAGCATGCTTCCTCCTGTGTCCCTGAAGCCTTTTCCACTATCTGAGCTCCAGGGCTGACCTCTCCATCACTCCATCACTGTGCTATAGGTCCGAGGTTCTGCTTTACCTTTCCATTGCTTTCTGTTAGAATGTCTCAGCTCCATGAATGCAGATATTCCAGGATCTTAAAATATGCTTCGTAAATTCCCAGCCTTCCCACTCCTAAGAGTAGTCTATGCCCATTTCTAACTAAAAACTCCCAACTCCATTCCCAGCATCCTACTTGGACTCATATAAATTCACACAGGATCATTTTTCTCCTTTGCTGCTAGATCTAATGGCCACTCTGGGGCACTTCCCTCTGATTCCCCTCCTTCCAGCTAGCAGGCAGACTCAGTCACTCACATTGCTGATAGGATAAACCCCTCTGCTCTAGGTTGTACTATGTTTCATCAAAAGATAAATGTTGACTTTTTGGCCACTAGTGTCTATGAATATGACCTTATTTGGAACAGAGTCTTTGTGAATGGAAGACCAGTGGGGGTTGGGGGGTGAGGTGTCCTTGACACTAACCCAGAATGACTATGTGTCTACACCAGTAAAAGGAAATTGGATACAGGCTCACAGGAAGAATGCCAAGTAAAAATGGAGAAAAGCAGGAAGGCAGCCATGTGAAGAGGTAGGGGTGCTGCCCACTCAACAATCTCTGGAGCCACAAGAAAGAAGCTGAAAAGGGGAAGAGAGGGTCCTCTCTCCCCACCTACTGGCTTTTGAGCAATACCTCAGCTGAGACTTCCAGGTCCCAACATGACAAGACAAGAACATTTTCCTGTTTAAGCTATCCAGTCTGGGGGTCATTTCTTGTAGCAATTCTGGACATCACTTTTTAAAATTACAATAAAAGATGCTGGCTACTCAGGCTTTATCCTCACTTCATGTGCCCCAGGTAGTCTCTTATACCCCAGTTCCACATAACTCCCATGACCTACACACCTACCAATCTTCAGCTCTCTCTTGAAGTTTAATCCACATTGAGCTTCATGAATCACCATCTAGTTGGAATCCTCCTCCAATACTGTAGAGTATATGTTCATCGAATTTCTTAGTGCAGGATGGTGTTCCTCTTCATGATGTCACTCACTTCATTCACCAAAATCGCTGTCCCTTTAAAGCCACGTAAGATTCGTTTACACTCAAGGTGACATGAAGCGTTTAGTAAACATGTGATATACAAAATATGAGGACTGGTGTTTTAGAACATGGCAATTAGGGGCAGTGAACTGAATCAGCAAGTTAGGGCACTAGCAGCCAGGCCTGAGAACCTGAGTCAAGCCCAGGGACTCCCCAAGGTGGAAAGAATCAACTTCTGCAAGCTGTCCTCTGACACCCCCACACATGCTGGAGTACACAAGCATACACACACACACTCGCACACACACACTCGCACGCACACACTCACACACGTAATGAATTAACTAATTTAAAATATAGAACATGAAGGTTCCCCACCCATTTGGACCTACCATTTATTAACTACTTACTGTATCAGGGATGTCAGATTTATTATCTTACTTAATCCTCCCAATCATCTTGGCAAGATAGATCACCACTATTTCTGCTCCTATTTTACACATGAAGAAGTAAGAGCTTTGGAGAAATCCATCTTCCAGCCAGCAGAATAGTGGGAATGAAAATTAAACATGAAGACTGGCTGAGAACGCTGTAATGGAGAGAGTCACTGCTCTCCTTAGCAATGTTTGATGTATTGAAGAAAAGCAGAAGGAAGATTTTCCTCCTGGCCTTCTCTATCGTCCTTTATTGGATATAAAGTGAGGTCACTAGAATTCTATGTGTGGCAATCTGTGCTATTGTCGAAACGTGTTCTCGAGAGAATGGAGTGGGTTTATCCCTTCAGCTAAGTTTTGCTCATGAAGGCAGGCTTCTAGAAATGTAAGAGACATCAGGTGAGAAGAAAGTGTAGAGGTAACCCCACTAAACACCTGGCCCCCAGTCGATTCACAGCCACTCCCCTACAGTGTCCAAGCACGTGATCCGATGGCTTGATTTGGAACCAAATGCCATGCTCCTCTCCACCCAGTAGTTTTCTTTATAACATGCTGAAAATAAAGACACAGTGTTCTGCCTCTGACACCTGTGGTTTATTAGGCTTGAAGACAGTGGGGTGGGATTCTGGGACCTTGTTACTGAAAAGTCAATCTACGTGCACCAAATAAAGCATCAAATTCCTACTGGATGTGTGATTTGATTGCTCAGTACTTACTTTAGGATAGATATTGGAATGCAGACTGAATTCACACACATCATGATGCACGCACACACACACACACACACACACACACACATTTTTTTTAACCTTACCCAGTCACCTTCTCTCCTATGCTTTGGTGACACTTCCTGTTTTCCCAGCAGACCTGCAAAGCTGGTCTTCTCTTGCTCTTCAGTTCAGCTCTTTGCACCCTTCAGGGAACAGCTCGAATGCTGCTTCCTCCGGGAAGCCTTCTTCCATTCCTCATCCATGGCCTCCTTCACCAAGCAGCCCTCCTCTCAGTGCTAGCCCCTTAGGGGAAAACATCCTACCTTTGGCTGCTTCAAAAACCACATGAGAGCAGGTTTCTGAACCCTGTGGGTGGGAAGAGAGGAGCTGGTTCCCAGACCTGTGCAGGGCTTGGAAGCTTGCAGAAACAGGCCCCCTCCCCCAAGTGTGGAAAGTACCCAATGCAGGGTGAAGCCGGCTCCCTCCCACTGGATTCCTGCAGCTGTTCAGCCTGTAAACTGGCTGCCCCGTTTCTTCTTTTTCTTCTCTTTCTTGCCTCCCTCCAACCCCACCCCCACCCCCCACCCCACCATGTGGTGGTGGTATGTGTGTGTGTGTGTGTGTGTGAGAGAGAGAGAGAGAGAGTCAGAGACAGAGACAGAGAAAAAGAGAGAGACACAGAAAGAGAGGAGGTCTCACTTAGCCCAGGCTAGCCTCCAACCAACCTGTGGTATAGCCAAGGTTGACCTTGAACTTCTGATCCTCCTGCCTCTACCTTCCAAGTGCTGCAGTTACAGATATCCACCACCCAGATGATGTGGGGCTAGAGACCGAGCCCAGGGCTTCATACGGGATAGGCACTGGTAGTCAAACATTCTACCAACTGGCTGCTTCCCCACTCTTGCAAGCCCATTTTCTCATCAAAAGTACTAAGGCCAATGCTGTTTCATAGCTACAAACAAAACGGCAAGAAGAAAAAAAATCAAAATGGAACAAGCCTGGGAAATTGAGCCTGGTGAGAGTTGTGGTTAGGACTTAAACCACACGTTAATTTACCTGTTTCTAGGGCAATGAAGACTCCATTGTATAAAAATATAGACAGCTACCATTATAAATCATGCTGACAACTAGACTACCTTTTTAAACCACTTTGTTTTAAGTCCATTTTTCTGATACTTCATTTGAAGATTTAAAAAAAGGGGGGGGTTGCGGAGGGAGTGTTTTCAACACATCCACTTGTAATGCCTGTTCTAAAGTACTGGGCTCCAAAGAGTTTCAATTAGATGAGCCCAGACAAGCAATAAATACTGAAAGCAAAGTTGAAAATAACTCCCAAGCTGTGATTTATAGGCACCATAACTTATCCACTATTAAAATTATAGTGGCAATGAATGCATAATATCAAATCAAATAAACCGAGGTTTTGAAGTTGTTAGTAGTTAATTAAGTAGATGTCTATGGCTAATAGATTGATTAGCCTTTAAAAGTTTACTCAAGGGGACTAAAGAGATGGCTCAGCAGCTAAGAGCACTTGTTTTTGCAGAGGCCCCAGGTTCAGTTCCCAGCAGCCTCAAGTCGACTCACCACCTCGCTTAATTCCTCCAGTTCCAGGGGATCTGACACCTCTTCTGGCCTCCACAGGCACTAGGTATAAAGGTGCTGTACAAACATACCTACACACAAACACTCACACATTTCTTATTCATTTTTCTTTCCAAGTTAGAAACAAACAAATGAGAACGTTGAAGGGATGAAGGAAAAAATACACTGTTCTATTTTGCTTATGATGTTACTTTTTTCTGTGTCTTAATAGTTTATATGAACTAGTTTCGCTTTCTGGGGAATGAAGGAGGCCGAGGGAGGAGGAGGGCTGTAGAGTGGGAGGGTGCAGAGATGAACCACATGCTTCCACTTCACAATATAACCCATGAAAGCGCTCTTGTGTGGCCGCGAATAATAATGATAATAATAATTAATAACAAAATGATAATCAACATTTTGAAATTTTTGTGTCAATGAACACAACTTTGTGGTGATTTCTTTCACACTCTAAAGCAGCTTCAGAAGAAGCATGTTTTGAGCTAAGATACCCCCACTTTCTCCGTTTATTGCCAACCCACTGGATATCATGAGAGAACATTTTTGGTTGTCAACTGTCAAGGTAGTTCTTGTAGTTTTTTTTTAAAAGCAAAACACAGAGGAAGGGAAATAAAACTGAAGTGACAATTTATGTCTTAGATGCAACGTTTGCTTACCTTTTTGTTTCCCCGCCCTTTCATAGTTCCAGAAAACAGGGAAGTTACAGTCGATTCCTTGATAGTGGTTACAAGCCAGGGATATAAGGACTCCATAAACAAGAACTTTATAAAAAGGCTGAAGCAACAAACATGTGTGCCAACATGGGACCCCTAGGCCAGCCAAGGGTAGAAGACAAGAGTCATGTGACCTATTCAAATGTAGCCTAGGAACTAACATCTTGGGCCAATTAAGGGGGCACTGGCCATAGGCTGGCACAAGTGTCTTCTTCTCTTCCTAGGCTATCTTTTTTTCTTTATCTTCTTTTTTGCATATTTTTAATCTTTTTTTTTAAAACTTGTTTATTGTTTTTGAAGCAGGGTCTCACTCTGTCGCCCTGGCTGGCCTAGAACTCACTGTACTATAGACTAGTCTGACCTCATATTAAGGGATCTGTCTCCTATATACTGGAATTAAAAAGCATGTGTCCTTTCTTTCCTTTCTTCTTATCCTCCTTCCTTCCTTTCCATCCTTTCCCCTTTTCTTTTAGACAGAATCCCACGTAGACCAGGCTGGACTTGAACTCACACTATGCCAAGGATGTCTTTGAATTCCTGATCCTCCTACCTCCACCTCAAGTACTGGCGCTACCTTCATCACGCCCTGTTTTGTGTGGTGTGGGGGAGTTCAAACCTGGGCTTCGTACACACTAGAACAGCTACTCTACACCTGAGAGGTATCTCCAGCCTTACAGTCTTGTTTCTTAAGAAAGCAGAAAAGCTCTGCTGCCATGTCTGTCTGAACCACTGGCTGTTCACCCCTCTGGATTCCTGCCTCCACCTGAACTGCTTGGCCGGAATTGCTCCCCCTACTGTCACAGATGACCTCCTGACAGCCAAACCTAATAGACAGTTCTCATTGCTTATCTTCACTTTTGCTGGCTTGAGACACTGTGGCCAGGCCTACCTCTTGGAACTTGCTTTCCATTCTGACCACTATTTCCTTCTTAGGCCCAGCCCACTCATCCAGGCGCATCTACCACGTGTGCAGGAAACAATGCGAGATGTTAGACTCCTGTGACCAAGAAGACAGAGCCCCTTCCCACCCCAGCCCCCGCCCCACTGAGGTAGTCACAGGAAAACTGATAATTATTTACTGAGCAAGCACCAACTGTCAGATCCAAGTGTTACTGAATATTCAAATGTCAGCCTGCTCCTTTACCACTCCTCAGCATTCTGTCTTTTGCTGTCTTTTGTTTCCCTTGGAACATCTTCATATGCCTTTTCTTCTCTGGTGACCCCTCTTAGTCAATCTCATCAGTGCCCATGATCTACATACACAGAGACAACTCTCAAATAAACGCCCTAACACAGCCTCCATTATCTCTGCCTGAAGGCCACGCAGCGCTGTAAATGCTACATGCTCAAACCAAACATGCCCTCTTTCCTCAGGACCTGTTGCTCCTGGCTTTCCCTTATCACCAATGGGCCCACCACCCTTTCATCCTAGATTATGTATTCTTTCTCATCTTTAGTATTCCCATCTATTCATTCGCTCGTCAAGCCATCTTATCCTAAATCAGTCTCTATCTATAAATGTTTTTCTTTCCTTTTCAGCAGAGCCTTGGTCAGACTCTCACTGCCACCACCACCCCTCATAGCCATATCTAGAAGACTTTAGGGATTTCTTAAACATGCTATATGGCCTGGCTTCAGGTAACCGCTAGAGCCCAGCTGTCTTGCAAGGAATGATTAATACAGATATAATGCTTCAGTGCTAAACCCTTTACACTCCTCTGCCTGGACTTTAGGGGATGTTTGAATTTTGTGGTGTGCAGTTTGTACTTGTTGGTACCTTTGTCTCCTTCATGTGACTATAAACAAACACGAGAACACCAGTCTTGTTTCATTCTTGTCTGTTTCAGTTTACACACATGAGGTTTTTAAATACAGGCCTTAAACAAATCCTATTGCCAGACTTCCCCAATGCCTGAAATGTTCAGCTTTGAGGCATCCCTCATAACCATCCTGAATGGGGTTTTTTTGTTTGCTTGTTTTTTTATTTTTTGTTTTTCCAGGAAGCTAGGTGTTAGGTAGCCTGCTTTGAAAGGTTTGTTTTCCTTAAATATAATCTCCCTCTGCTGAGTAGATCCTGCTGTCCCTAGTCAGACAGCAAGGCCTCAGGAAAAGAGACAGGGGAGTGTCAATGCAGGCAAACAGGTAGGGCCTGGTTTGCCTAGAAGATGGCCTGTTGTTCTGAAAGGATTCGGTGAGGAGCAGGTGGGGCTAAGTACTAAATCCTGCCATCTTAATCAGTGGATAGAATAGGCCGAACTTGCCCATGGGCCAGAGATAAAGACACTTTCCCGTTGCCTGACAATCTGAGTTTGATTCCCCAGGACCCACAGGCAAGTAGAAGAAAACCCATCACCACATCTTCCTTTGGCCTCCATAGGTGTGGTAAGTAGAGCATTCATACACACACACACACACACACACACACACACACACACAGAGAGAGAGAGAGACAAATAAAAAGTAAAAGAAAGATATAAATAAGCAAACAACAAAGAAACTTGTCTAAGACAACTGAGTGCTAGCTAGAACTTTACAGTTTCCCATAATACATCTGTTTATCTAATGTCCTCACGTCTCACTGACATACACTGAGCAGGTGGGCCCAATTACATATTCTCCTTAGGAAAATTGAGAAAACAGCCACTCACCGATCTTGGACTTTGGTCATTGATGAATCCCTGTGGTTGAGAAAGGCAGATTTAAGGTAAATACAACTGAGTCTAAGAAGTGTAACAAAGAGCTTCAGAGTGGCTCTTGTCACTGGAGAACTTCACTGGAATATATAGACTTTGGGTCAGGTTAATTTTCATGTGTCATGCTTTTCATTGGCCAGTTCTTTTTAATAAAGTTTTAGTTAAAGAAAATTTTCAACACATGGGGACATGGCTCAGCAGGTAAGGAGCTTACCAGGTAAGTATGAAGGGCTGGAGCTAAGATTGTCAGTACCCATGGAAAGAAAACACCCAACATCAACCTTTGCTCTCCACACCTAACACACACAATTAAATATACAAAACTCTTTAGCACTTGCATTATGGAAAAAAGGAAATGTGTATTACATAAAGACACACACAGAGAAAGGAACAGGATACCAGCAGTTCAGATAACATTATCTATTCTCTTTTTTCTGTCTAAGAATAATGAAAAATCCTCTGAGGTTACTGCCTTCCTTCAGAAAATTTTATTTCACATAACCAGGGTTGGGGATGGAGGGAGGGAGGGAGGGAGGAGGGAGGGAGGGAGAGAGAGAGAGAGAGAGAGAGAGAGAGAGAGAGAGAGAGAGAGAGAGAGAGAGAGAGAGAGAACCAAGAACCAAGACCAAGTGATACAGTGTATTTTATCATCACTTTCATCAACTTTAGAGTAAGTCCTGTGAGCAGCCAAGCTGGGAAACCATGACACAGCCCTCCCCAAAGACCCAGATAGGCATCTGCCTGCATGCTCAGAGAGTACAAAGGGACAGAGGAGCCTCCGGCTAGAATCTGACTGTCCCATGCAGGGCTTCCTGCTCCAGGCACCAAGTCAGAGACTTCCAGACTCCAAGAGCTGCTGTCTTGCATCATGTTCTTTTGCTAGAGGGTTCTGTAAAAGGAAGAAATTCCTCTCTGGCTCCTGCCTGCAATCACCTATGCCCTAAAGCATATGTGATCACCCCTTCATCATTATCTCAGTTTACCAAGCTGTGCTCCTTATCAACATTTCTGCACTGCTCTCTAAAGATCACATGTCCTGGTTAACCACACTGAAAGGCCATATGCCAAAATGCATGCTTAATTCAGTTATAGTATAGTTTTCTTGGGACCTTGGTGACAATTAGATGCTCCAAGCTCTATGGCAAAGCAAACTCAAACTCATGAGTTGCCTCATGAAAAAAACCTATGTACTTCCCGTAAGAGAAAGTATCTATAATTAGTACAGAAAGTATTTGATAATCATATAAATGGATAGTTTTTTTAAAAATAGAAAGAATCAAAGTCCTTCTAATACATAAAAGTTGCCCTAACCCAGGTCAGGAAGTTCACCTGATAATGTATTTTTTTTATTCTGTGTGTGTATGTGTGTGTGTGTGTGTGTGTGTGTGCTTGCACATTGTGTGTATATGTGTGTGTGTATGTCTGTATGTGTCTACAGTGTGTATGTGTATTTGTGTGCACATGTACACATGGGCATATTGTATGTGTGGTATAAGCTCTCTCTGTGTATGCTGTGTATGTGTGGTCTAAGCTGTGTGTGTGTGTGTGTGTGTGTATGCGTATGCTTTGTGTGTTATGCTGTGTGTGTGTGCGCGCGCGTGCGTGCTGTGTGTATTGTAGGCAGAGTTTCTGTTCCACTATATCTGACTCCAGATTTTTATGATCTAGACCAATTAAGAACTTCATTTACAGTGTATGCTGTGTGTGTGTGTATATGCTGTGTGTGAATATGCTGTGTGTGCTCTGTGTGTGTATGCTCTGTGTGTATGCTGTATGTGTGTATGCTGTATATGTGTATACTGTGTGTGTGTGGGGGGTGAGAACTACTGATACAATTCAGCATTGTAAACACCTGAAAAATCATCTAGAGAGACTTGCAAGCAGGCTTACTAGCAATGACACAAATTTAATTCAGCAAAAACACCCCCTGCCTACACCATCCTACAAAAATGACAGTGAAATTATCTGTAAGAAATGTGGCTAATAGGCTCCTGCATCTATCTTCCTTTCTTTCAGAAGGTAGAGGAGCCCCCTACCCCCATGACCTGATCTCTAGAGAATAATGCCCCTCTGTTCACTTTAAAAAGTCCTTCTACAAATATAAACTCATTTGTGGCTCACTAAGTGTGAAACAATTACACCCACAAACAGACCAGCAGAAAGCAAAAATAGACTAGTGCATATTTTTCAGTTTGTGGTCTCCTCTGGGTTGAAACACAAAGAGAGAGTTAACAAAATGAATGACAACATTACACCTGAAGAAGATGAGGAAGCCAGATAACCTGCTCGGGGTGCTTCTCTTTGACAGCCATTACAACACCAGTGCCTAGAAATATAACTCAACACCCTGTGCCACAGTCATTGAATGATAACCGTTAGCTTCAGGGCTCTGGAGGAAACCAGCCTTTGCCCAGGACGAATGGAGATGGGTGGTGTGTGTGTGGAGTGTGGGTCTCTGCAAACTCACAGAGGGGTAAATGGTGAGAGTTGCTTCGCTTTGAGCAACCTCAGATCTCCTTAGAGTGGCGATTACCACACATTGTGAGGGAGGCTGCTGTTGAATTTACTTAAA